ATTAAAGTAGGAAATAGTTTTACAATAATAGTTTCAGCAATTAATGGAGAAAACTGGACAGAATATCACTAATGAAACAGAGGACTTGAAAAGCACTATAAGTTAACATCGATCTAAGAGACAATATATAGGGCACTCACCCAACAACAACAGGAACAATAGAACACATATTTTTTTTAAAAGGCCCATGAAGGCCCATTCTCCAGAACAGAGCAGATGTTAGGCCACAAAACAAGTCTTAATAAATGTAGGAAGACTGAAATGATATGGTTTCTTTCCCAACAAAAATATAATGAAACTTGTAGTTAATAACTGAAAGAAAATGGGAACAATCACAATACGTGGAAATTAAGCAACATGCTCTTAAACAATAGACCAAAGAAGAAATCCCAAAGGAAATTAGAAACTACTTTGAGATGAGTAAAAAGAAAAAGTAATGACATGCAGCAAAACCAGTACCCAGAAGGAAACTTAATAGCTATACTGCCTACATTAAAGGAAGGAAAAGTTCTCTAATCAGTAACCTATCTTTACATACAAAGAACTAGGGGAAAAAAAAAAAAACAAACCTAAAGCTAGCAGATGTAAGAAAGAACAAAAATTTAAGCATAGATAAACAAAACAGAAGTCAGAAAAGCAATAAAGGAACTCAATAATACTAAAACCTGGCTGTTGGAAAATATGGACAGAATTGACTATACTGACAAAAAGTATAACAAATTATTAAAATCAGAATTAAAAGTATATTATCGACCAAGAAAGGGTTACAAAAGAATATTATGAACAATTGTATGCCAACAAAGTAAATGACCTAGATGAAACGGATAAATTCTGAGAAACAAACTACTAAAACTGACTCAAGAAGAAATAGATAATATGAAGAACTTTATAATGAGATCAAATCAGTAATCAAAACCTTCCATCAAAGAAAAGGCCAAGATCAGATGGCTTTATGATGAATTCTACCAATCATTTAAGGAGGTAACTCCAAATGTTTCAGAAACATTTCCAAAAAATAGAAAAGAACACATTTTAACTCATTCTATGGGGCCAGCATTACCCTAACACCAAAGCCAAAAACATCACAAGAAAAGAAAACTATGCAACAATATTCCTTGTAAATACTGATGCAAGTGTATTCACAAAATAGTAGCAAATGATCAAGTGAGATTTATCCTAGGAACACAAGAGTGTTTCAGCATATACAAATCAACATAATACTGGCATCAATAAAATGAGAGGAGAAAAAACACGGTCATCTCTCGTAGAAAAAAACGTTTGATAGATGCCCCTTTCATGATATAAAACCCCCACAACAGCAATATTCAGATAATTGAGGAAGTTCCTTAATCTGGAATCGAACTTCCTTTACCTGGTAAAGAGCATTTTTGCAAAACCCATAGATAACATTGTATTTGATGGTGAGAGACTGAAAGCTTTCCCTCTGAGATCAGGAACAAGACAAGGATCCCTGCTTTTGCTACTTTTATTTCTTATTGTACTGGAAATTCTATCCGAAAGAGGCAAGAAAAATAAAAAGCATCTATGGTGAAAAGGAAGAACATTAGCTCTATTTGCAGACGTCATAATCTTATATATGCATTAGTGTTTTTTTACATACTAACAATGAACAATTATTCACCAAGGAAATTAAAAAGCAATTCCATTTATAATAGCATCAAATAGTAAAATAAGATACTTAGAAACAAATTTAGCCAAGGAGATGAAATGTTTATACACTTTCTAGAAACTATAAAACATTGCTGAAAGAAATTTAAAAACACAAAAATAAATGGTATGACATCCCATGTTTATGAATGTAAGACTTAATATTGTTAAAATGGCAATATCTCAAAAGTGATATGTGGATTCACTACAATCCCTATCAAAACCCCAAAGGCCTTTTGGCAGATATGAGAAAGGTTATTCTAAATTTCACAAAATTGCAAGTGACCCCAAATAATCAAAATAATCTTGAAAAAGAACAAAGTTGAAGGACTCACACTTTCCAGTTGTAAATTTTTCTGCACGACTACAGTAATCAAGACAGTGGTAATCTCTTAAGATTAGAAATATAATTTAATGAAACAGACTGATTTTTCATAAGGCTACCAAGACCTTTAATAGGAGAAAGTATAATCTTATCAACAAAAGTTGCTAGGAGAACTGAATATCCACACACCAAAGAATAAAGCTAAACCCTCCCCAAAATCTGTCAAGAATTTATCTATCTCAACACTCAAAAAATATATATAACCCACTTAAAAATTGGGCAGAAGACATGAATAGATCTATTTTTCCCAAGACATATGGATGGCTAATAGACACATGAAAAGATGCTTAAGCATCACTCCTCATCAGGGAACTCCAAACTAAAACCATAATGAGATACCACCTTACATCTTTTAGATGGCTAAAATTAACACAGGAAACAACAAATCTTAGTGAGGATGCAGAAATAGGGGAACCTAATTACACTGTTGGTGGGAATGCAAACCGGTGCAGTACTGTGAAAAACAGTGTGGAGGTTACTCAGAAAGTTAAAAATAGGACTATTCTAGTGCCCAGCAATTTTATAGCACTACTAGCTATTTACATAAAAGATACAAAAATACGGATTCAAAGGGATACATACATACTGATGTTTATAGCAGCATTATCAACAATAGCCAAATTATGAAAAGAGCCCAAATGTCCACTGACTGATGAATGGATAAAGAAGATGCGGCATATTATGTATACACAATGGAATATTGGCCATAAAAAAAGAATAAATCTTGCCATTTACAGTGAGTTTATTATGTTAAGTGAAATAAGCCAGAGAAAGACACTCATATGTGGAATTTAAGAAGCAACATGGATAAACATAGGGGAAGGGGGAAAAAAGGAAAGGAGGCAAACCGTAAGAGACTCTTAGCTATAGAGAACAGAGAGTTGCTAGAGGGATGGGGGGGATGGGCTTGATAAGTGATAAAATCTTAAAAAGAATACCTATTTATTTGTGAGACACCGAGAGAGAGGCAGAGACACAGGCAGAGGGAGAATCAGGCTCTAGCAGGGAGCCCGACTTGGGACTCGATCCCTGGTCTCCAGGATCAGGCCCTGGGCTGAAGGCGGCGCTAAGCCACTGAGCCACCTGGGCTGCCCGATAAGTGACAGGTATTAAGGAGGCCACTGGGTTTTTTTTTTTTTTTTTAATTTTTAAAATTTTTTTTTATTTATTTATGATAGTCACACAGAGAGAGAGAGAGAGAGAGAGAGAGAGGCAGAGACACAGGCAGAGGGAGAAGCAGGCTCCATGCACCGGGAGCCCGACGTGGGATTCGATCCCTGGTCTCCAGGATCGCGCCCTGGGCCAAAGGCAGGCGCTAAACCGCTGCGCCACCCAGGGATCCCCGGCACTGGGTTTTATATGTGAATGATGAGTCACTAAAATCTACTTCTGAAGTTAATGTTACACTATATTTTAAGTAACTAGAATTTAAGTAAACACTCAAAAAAAAAAAAAAGACTCCTACCTCATATCATATATAAAAATTAACTCAAATATGATGAAAGACTTGAATTAACAGCTAAAGTTATACAATTCAAAGAAGAAAACAAAGGGGTGATCTTTCATGATATTGATTATGGCAAAGATTTCTTAAATATTACACCAAAAGCATAAACAACAAAAGGAAAAAAAAAATAGATAAAATGGCTTTTATCATCAGACATAAAGATGACACAGTTGAAGAAAATTTTCAAATCATATCTGATAGGGTGTAGTATTCAGAATATATAAATAATTCTTAAAGCTCAACAATGAAAAGACAAACATTTTTTTAAGTGAGCAAAGGATTTAGGTTTACTTTTTTTTTTCTTTTTCAAAGAAAGAAATACAAATGGCTAAAAAGACATGAAAATATGCTTAACGTCATTAGTCATTGGGGAAGTGAAAATCAATGCCACCAATTATATATACCACTTTATACCCACTAGGATGGCTAAAAAAATTTTAAAGAGGAAAATAACAAATGTTGACAAGGATATAGATTAATTAGAACCACAGACATTGCTAGTGGGAATATAAATGGTGGAGCTAATAGGGAAAATGGTTTGGCAGTTTCTCAAAAAGCTAAACAATTATCATATAATTGAGCACTTCCACTTTTAAGTATATACAAAACTTGTACATGAATGTCATAAAAGCATTATTTACAATAGCCAAAAGATAGAAACAAATGCTTTTTTTTGTATTTATTGAGATGATCATATGGTTTTTCTTCTTTAATCTGTCAGTATGATGCCTAACAATACGGTGATTAATTTTTTTTTTTTTTTACTGTTTAACTAGTCTTGCATTCCTAGGATAAACTGCAATTTAGTCATGATGCATTATCCTTTCTATATGTTTTTTATTTGCTAATATTTTGTTGACAATTTTTATACCTGTTCTTGAGGAATAAGGTTTTGTAATTTTCTTTTTTGGTTTTGGTGTCAGGATGAAGCTGACCTCATAAAATGTTGGGAGTTATTCTACCCTTTAAATTTCTGAATGAATTCTTATAGAATTGCCATTATGTTACTACCAACTAATGATACAGCTCCAGATAGGTTTAAGGATTTGCTTTTTATTTTTGAAGCTTAACTTTAATTTTGCTATGATACTCACTTCAAAATTGTTTTAATGTAATCAAAATTACTTCAGGTATTTTTTATTGTATAAAAAATTTTGTAAAAAAATATATTGTTCATTCAAGCCAGTTTTCATTGTTCTCTATTACACATAAATTCTACAGTAAAATCTAAGCAATTTTTGTTCTTTTTTAAATCTAAATATTAGTGCATTTTTTAAAAAGTAAACCATTGTTATGAGCATGAAGATGGTTTAACATATATTCTCATTGGAATGGAGTTTTTAAATCAAATTTTAACAAGAACTCAAGTTTTTATGCATTTAGAATGATTATGATTTTTTAAATTTACTATAATTAATACTAATGTATTTTTTTATCTAGTCATGCAGATGGATCAATAAAATTTTGGGATGCTTCTGCAAGTAAGTTTAAGTCTCTTGTTCTATAACAGAAATATTTGGTTAATATTTACTCAGAGCCATTCACCACTTTTTAGTTTGGACAATTAATATTTCAGATACATTTTTAGCATATATATATGACTGGACTATAAAAATTCATTTCCTATGTTAGATCAATTTAAAGTACTATCTCTTCTATACTTTTCCTTTATAATATAAACAGGACTGAATTCACTGTCAGTAACTTATTATATTTACAAAAGGTAAGGTATGTTGAAAAAGTACCAAAATTTGTCAGATCAACTCTGTTGAAGGAATTTCCTTTACCTTCAGCTCTGGTCCTGGAAAAGTTCTTTTATCTCATTAGTCCACTTTTCTTCTTGTCTACCAAGCCTTTGTAAATCAAAAGAAATGATTTGATAAATGTAAATTTTAAGATGTTTGAGAATTATATAAGGAATAAGGTATTCTGCTCAGTTGTTGAAAGGAATGCAGAAATATTTCAGGCTTCATTATATCCATATATGCCCTTCATGCAAGTTATATTTACTAAATCAGATAAAGAACTGCACAAATATGACTAAAAGGCAAACAGTATAAGAGCTCTAAATGCAATACAACTCAAATTCTATTACCAGAAATTTGAGATTTGTTTGAACCAGGTCGATCTAGAAATGGTTTTTTGATTGAGTAATATTTAATGTGAGTTTTGGAAGGTAGTTAAGATTTTAATAGAAATAGGAGAAGAGTAAGTGAGTAATGACTGTTTCTGAGGATGAGTAACCAGTAATATAAAGGTAACTCTTTTGTAAATGAGGAATATAAATGAGTGCTGGAGATTTGAATTTTGTAATTATACCACGAAATCCAAGTAAAAATGTCTAGCAGGTAGGAAAAACAGGCAAGAATGGACACCAATGTAGAAACAGCATAAAAGTGATACATGAAGTTATAGAAGTAAGCAGCTTCTAAGGAAGATGATGATAAACACAAAAGCAGAGGGAAGAAGATTGAATATTGGTGATACTCTTAGCCTGCAAGCTTGAGTATTTCAGCAGTGGAATAAACCATCAGCGAGAGAAAATTAATAAAATATTTAAAACTATGAATTTTTAAGTGACTTTCTGAACTCACACAATAAAGAGCAATGTCTCAGGGAGAAATTCCAAAGGACAAAATATTTTCCTTGATGCATTTTTCCTTGTAAATCTTTGTTCCAAGAACACAATTTTATAGTGACAATTTATATGTTCCTTTCCCACCACCTCAAAGTCACTCCTTAGCTTCTAAAATGTGAGAAGACACTTTAACATCCTCACAACTAGAGTACATGGCACCCTTAAGCAGGCATAATATTTAAGAAGTTAATTTTTAAATATTTATCATATTCAGAACATATATTGCAAAGGTTTGCAGCATGTTTAATATTTTTTACTATAATCAATTATAAGGACAGATTTCCAATTTTCTGGATGTCATTGAAGACTATCACCTAGTCTGCCAATTTTAAGGAATACTAGTACTGTCCAGTACAGAAGTGAGGTTATACTGAATTTAAATAACTGAGTTTGTTATTATGTGTATTAATTTTCATTTACTGATAATAAATTACCATAATTGAGCAGCTTAAAACAGTACTTACATATTATCTTACAGTTTCTATGTGTCAGGAATCGAGGTTCAGTTTAGCTGGGTTCTTTACCTAGGGCTTCCCAAGACCACAGTCAAGGTATTGGCTCCTGCGACAGTTTCATCTGAGATTTAGTATCCTCATTCAATCTCATGTAGTTGGCAGAATGCATTTTTTTGTATCTTTAGACTCATGGCAACTTGTTTCTTCAAGCTGGCAAAGGAGTGTCACTCTAACCTCAGGGAGGGCACTAGTCCCTCTTCTAATTATTGTTATGTCAGTCCCATTAAGGATAGTCTCTGTTGATTAACTCAGAGCCAACTAATTGGGGGACTTAATTATGTCTGCAGTATCCTTTTACCATTGCTATTGTCACATAAATAATCATGGGAGTTATACCCAATCTAACCTGGAAGGCAGGCTATATAGCACTTAGTAAAATTAATGTCTTACCCATGTTCAAAATGTTTTGGTTTGACATAATTTTAGACTTAGAGAATAATTGCAAAAAAAATACCATGAAGTGGTATATAATTTTTAGCCCGATTCCCCAAATGTCAGTGTATACTCCATTTGTTCTTCCACCTTCCCCCCTTCCTCTTCTCCATATGTTCATATATATGTATGTATAGTTTTTTGTAACCATTTGTGAGTTGCAGTGATGCTTTTACACTACATGGCCCTAAAATATTTCACTGTATATTCCCTACACACATTTTTTACATAGTCAAATTATACTTATCAAAATCAGGAGATTAATATTGATGCCATGCTAATATCTAACCTCCATGACTTACTCATATTATTGTCCCAGTAACATCTTTCATAATAAAAGAAAATTGAGAATTATTTATTACATTTATCAGCTTTTCAGTTTTACTCAATTTGGAATTGTTTATGAAATTGATGTTTTTGAGGATTTGGGCCAATTATTTTTGCAAAATCTTTAATTTGGGTTTGACTGATGTTTCTCATGATCATCTTCAGACTATGCATTTTTGACAGCAACTCCTGGATTTTTAGAAATTTTCTTAATAATCTTTTATAGAATCAGAACTTTTTTATAGAAGAGTTATCATCAGGGTCTAAAATGGAAAAGATATTCTCCCAAATAAATATTCCTGAAAACAATTCACCACCCCCCGAGTTTTGAAAAATTATAATGGATCCTTTTCTAATACAGAGCCACTTAGAAAAGATTCTTTCCAAAATAATTATAGATTATTGGACTCTCATTACTAGCTAATAAATTACAAATATTTCTTACCTTAAAGATTGTCTAGAAATTTGTTGAGAAATAAATAAATAAACTGTAAGGATAGCTTCAGTCTTCCATGTAGCAATCAAAGCGGGTAATGTGAAAAAGGATTAAAGGGACTCTTTTAGGAGAGAATTAGGTTCAGTATTCCCATTGTAACCTTTCTGAGCCTCAGGGTTTTCATCAGTAAATGAAAATAACAATACTTACTTCATGGGACTTTTCTGAGGCTCACATGAGACAATATATACAAAGGACCTACATATTCTTTGGTATATAGTATATGTTCAATAAATGTTTCTTTTTCTCTGGAATCTCCTTCCAACTAAACTAATGATAAGAGTACATGACATTGAATGCTTACTAGTTAAAATGTAATTTATTTTGTCTACTTGGATTTTATTTAAGTGCTTTAACAAATACACTGAAAAAGCTTCAACAATTTCTAAGGATTAAGTTCAAATTAGAAGATAACTATGCTTCAATATTTTACAGTAACTCTGCAGATGCTGTACAAGCTAAAAACTTCAAAAGTGTTTGAAAAACAGAAGATAGGAGAAGGAAAACCAACATGTGAAATTGTAGAGGAAGATCCATATGCCATTCAGATGATTTACTGGTGTCCGGAGAGCAGAATATTCTGTGTATCAGGAGTCTCTGCATATGTCATAATTTATAAATTCAGCAGACATGAAATAACATCCGAAATAGTGGTAAGTTATTTAAAATTTAATGTTCACAGCCAGAGTTATTAAAAGAAAGCAATTATCATAGATTTTGGCTAGTATTTGGTATTGTTTTAAGCCTTCAAGACTGCTGTATTTGGCCAGTGATCCCATTCATAGGATTTTAATTATTCTTCTTACCTGTTTAACATTAAAGAATAGATTGGCTTAAAATGAAAAAACATTACTCAAACTTTGTATTATTAAATAGGTGGATTTATTTCTATATAGAATATATACAGACATTTATTGCTTTATGTATAAATGTCAAATTAGTACAGGCTGTGTTGTATATCTTTATTAAAATTTTTTGTCTTTTCTTGTCAATTGCCATAAGTGATTATTTCTCAACTACAATAAGATTATTTTTAATAATTTTCTATATAGAAACATTTTTATAGGATGGAAATAATTATGGGCTACCTTTTCTAATCTTAATTTTAAACTAACCAAGTAATTTAATTATTCAATTATGCTTTCATGGGATAAATTAAATCTAAGTTAAGGCATCTATAAATAATTAGCCTTCCCAGCTGAATCCATCTTATCATTTTATCAGAAGATAAAGATGATTAACTAAAGGCCTGTATGTAACTGTTTTTACCTCAACAGCGAAAATTAAGTAATGCCCTGTTAAAGTATATTAGTTAAAATCTCAGCCTTTTGAGTCAGATAAGCCTGTTTTAATTCTGGCTTTGCCAATGAATAGCTACATAACTCTGAGCAAATCACAAGGCTCCAGTAGTCAGTACTGGAATCTGGGTGAGACCAAGTTACTTCACTCATAATTTTCTGGGTAAATAAAATGGAAAATAATAATAAACTACAAAAAATTTAAAAAAATAAATGATAAACTACAAATGATAATGCCAATTTCATAGGTTTCTTATATAAAATCATTAGCATAGTGTCTAGGTATAGTTCTCACTCAGTAATTGGTAAGTGTTATTGTCACTAGAGACTGTATTTAGTTTTTAAGATAATTATGTAAATCACTCTGATAATATTTCTATATTCACTTTCCCACAATGACATTTGTTTTCAGCCTCAAAACTGATTTATTTATCATATGATTTCACTCATATGTGGAATTTAAGAAACAAAACAGGAACAAAGAGGAGAGGAGGGAAAAATAAAACAGGATGAAATTGGAGAGGGGGACAAACCTTGAGACTGGTAGCGATAGAAAACAAACTGAGGGTTGCCAGAGGGGAAAAGGGCGGGGGGATGGGGTAACTGGGTGGTGGACATTAATGAGGGTACATGATATAATGAGCACTGGGTATTATATAAGACTGATGAATCACTGAACTCTACCTCTGAAACTAATAATACACTATATGTTAATTAATTGAATTTTTAAAAACCTGATTTTTACATTGTAAAGCAAATGTTATAAAATTGATTTTAATTAGTGCTCGCTTTGGCAGCACATATACTAAGATTTTAATTAAAGCAATGAGTGTAGTCATCAAGTATTTACTTTGTAAACATTCTTAGATTAAAAAATAGGTTTGGGGTCATCTTTTTATTCCAATACAGTTTATCATATGTTTTTCAAGTAAGCAACTCTAACCAAGCTAATGAAATTGAGCTAAGCTAATGAAACAAAAATTAGAATTTATTTTGGAAAACGTTTACTAAATTAAGAGCCAGAATAGAATGTTTTTTAAACTAAAAGCCTTGTACAAATAATAATTTGCATGTTATATACATATGTGTAAACACATCCAGTTTATTTCCTTTCACTGGAATAACCTTGACTAGTTTCTCCTTTTATTATCTATGGAGTTGTAATTTATACCTCTAAGGGAGGATTTAGTATGTAAAAACTTTGTCTCCACCAGCAGGTATTTTTCTTATGAATCTGAAGAATTAAATATTTTACAGTTTTTTGTGAATGCCAGTGAATGTTCCATGTATTTCACTATTTAAATCAATTTGGGATATTTTAACTTTACTATAAATTGAAATTGAGTTTATTAGCCTGAAAAAGTAATAATTACCAAAAATTTATTAGAAATTTTAATGTGATTAGTTATTATTAGATTAAATTAAAACTTGATTTTTTTTAAGTCATTAGAGGTACGACTTCAGTATGATATTGAAGATATTATTACCCCAGAACCAGAAACAAGTCCTCCATTTCCAGATCTCTCATCCCAGCTTCCTTCTTCAAGGAGTCTTTCCGGAAGCACTAACACTGTGGCTAGTGAAGGAGGAACAAAGGACAGTATCCCATGCCTCAAGTAAGAGTTGCTACCAAATTTTCAAACAATTTTACATAGTAATCATATCATACTTTGGAACTATGCCAAATAAAACTATTCTTCTCTTTTATTAAGTTGTTGTCAATTGGCCCACAATCTACCTAGGGATACTGTGTTCTTTCTTTGAATATCCATGAAGAGGGCACAATATTTTCATATTTCATTACAAATTCATGGGTTTTCTTTCCAGGTGGATCCTAAAGAAAACATGGCTTTAATAGAATGGGAACATGTATGGTAGGGCAGAAACTTGGCCACTTGCTATTTCCCAATTTAAAGTTTGTTTAGGGAATTTCTTCAGTTGGAATCAAAAAGAAAGCCATATTTATTTACTATCTACTACAAGAATACTGTGTTAGAAAAGAGGATCATGATTGCTAGGATATTGCAAAAATAATATTTCTTTCTTCCTTTTAACTGATACTATTAAGAAGATGAGATTTAAACAAAAAGTAGATGAGGGAGTTAGCTGAAATGTTATCTAGTAGAAGAGCACTCCAGGCAGAAGAACAGCTAGAGCAAATGCTTTAAAGTTCCATTCTCATGAATTGGAAGAGCAAATATTGTTAAAATGTCTATGCTTCCCAGAGCAATGTATACATTCAATGCAATCCCTATTAAAATAACATCAGCATTTTTCACAGAGCTGGAACAAACAATCCTAAAATTTGTATGGTCCAGAAAAGCCCATGAATAGCCAAAGGAAAGTTGAAAAAGAAAAACAAAGCTGGTAGCATCACAATGCTGGACTTCAAGCTCTATTACAAAACTGTAATCATCAAGACAGAATGGTACTAGCACAAAAACAGACACATAGATCAGTGGAACAGAACAGAAAATCCAGAAATGGACCCTCAACTCTATGGTATACTAATCTTCGATGAAGCAGGAAAGAATATCCAATGGAAAAAAGATAGTCTCTTTAACAAATGGTGTTGGGAAAATTGGAGAGCCACAAGCAGAAGAATAAAACTAGACCATTTTCTTACACCATACACAAGATACATCTCAAAATGAATGAAAGACCTAAATGTTAGACAGGAATCCATCAAAATCCTAGAAGAGAATACAGGCCGCAACTTCTTAGACCTCAGCTGCCACAACCCTGGCTAGACAGATGTCCAAAGGCAAGGGAAACAAAGGCAAAAAATGAGTTATTGGGACTTTATTAAGATAAAAAGCTTTTCACAGCAAAGGAAACAGTTGACAAAACCAAGAGGCAACTTAAAGAATGGGAGAAGATATTTGGAAATGTTTATCAGACAAAGGGTTAGGATCCAAAATCTATAAAGAACCTGTCAAACTCAACACCAAAAGAACAAATAATCTAGTCAAGAAATAGGCAGAAGACATGAACAGACATTTCTCCAAAGAAGATATACAAATGGCCAACAGAAGGGCACATGATATAATGACCATTGGATGTATATACTATTAATGGATCAATGAACTCTACCTCTGAAACTAATAATAAAATATATATCAATTAATTGAATTTAAATTTAAAAAATGGCCAACGAACACATGAAAAAATGTTCAACATCACTTGGCATCAGGAAATACAAATCAAAACCACAATTAGATACCACCTCACACCAGAATGGTGAAAATTAACATAAGGAAACAAATGTTGGCAAGGATGCAGAGAAAAGGGAATCCTTTTACACTGCTGGTAGGAATGCAAGCTTGTACAGCCACTCTGGAAAACAGTATGGAAGTTCCTCAACAAGTTAAAAATAGTGCTACCCTATGACCCAGCAATTGCACTACTAGGTATTTACCCCAAGGATACAAATGTAGTCATCTGAAGCACCTGCAACCTAAGGTTTATAGCAGCAATGTCCACAATAGCCGTATCATGGAAAGAGCCCAAATGTCCATTGACAAATTAATGGATAAGTAAGATGTGAGTGATACACACACACAATGGAGTATTACTCAGCCATCAAAAGTGAAATCTTGCCATTTGCAACATGGGTGGAACTAGAGGGTATTATGCTAAGTAAAATAAGTCAATCAGACAAAGACAATTATCATATGATTTCACTTATGTGGAAATTAAGAAACATAACAGGAGAGCATAGAGGAAGGGAGAAAAAAATAAAACAAAATGAAATCAGAGAGTGAGACAAACCATAAGGGATGCTTAACCGTAGGAAACAAACTGACAGTTGCTGGGGCAGGGGGGTGAGGAGATGGGGTACTGGTGATGGGCATTAAGGATGGCATGTAATATAATGAGCACTGGGTGCTATATATAACTGATAAGTCACTGACCTCTACCTCTGAAATTAATAACATACTGTTAATTAACTGAATTTAAATAAAAGTAAATTAACAAAAATAGGGGCACCTGGGTGACTCAGTCGGTTAAGCATCTGCCTTCGGCTTAGGTCATGATCTCTGGTCCTGGGATTGAGCCCCACAGCAGGCTCCCAGCTTAGTGGGGAGTCTGCTGTTCCCTCTCTCTCTGCCCCTCCACCTGCTTGTGCTCGCTCTCTCTCTTAAATAAATAAAATCTTTTTTAAAATAAAATAAAGTGGCTCGCATATAGGGATGTCAGTATAGCTAAGACAAGAGGAGCAAGGTGGGGAGTTGTGGCGAGGGTAGTAGGAGATGGAGTCAGATGAGTAACAGAGAGCCAATATAGGCCATTGTAAGGGTCTTGGCTTTTATTCCTAATTAAATGGAGGATTCATTATAGTGTTTTTAATAGAGAGGAAACATGTTCAGACTTACATTTTAAATTGATCACTTTGGTGGCTTTGTTGAAAATGGATTTAGAAGGGAAGGGTAGAAGCCAGGAGACCAGTAAGGAGGTTATTGTACCTAACTAGAGATGATATTAAAGGCTGAAAGATTCAACAAATAAAAATACAGAATGCTTATTTAAATTTGAATTTCAGGGATCCCTGGGTGGCGCAGCGGTTTAGCGCCTGCCTTTGGCCCAGGGCGCGATCCTGGAGACCCGGGATCGAATCCCACGTCAGGCTCCCGGTGCATGGAGCCTGCTTCTCCCTCTGCCTGTGTCTCTGCCTCTCTCTCTCTCTCACTGTGTGCCTATCATAAATAAATAAAAATTAAAAAAAAATTTAAATTTGAATTTCAGATAAACAATAAACATTTTTTGGTATCAGTATATCCTAGATGCTACATGGGACACACTTGCAGTAAAAAACAAAGCAAAAAACCTACTTATTGTTTATTTGAAATTCAGATTTAAATATGGAAAGATCCCAGATGTCCATCAACTGATGAGTGGATAGAGATATGGGGAGTGTATATAAAATAAATATACATATAATGGAATATTACTCAGCCATTGAAAAGAATGGAATCTTGCCATTCACTCATGTGCAAAATTTAAGAAACAAAACAGATAAACATAGGGGAAGGGAAGGAAAAATAAAATAAAACAAAAACAGAGAGGGAGGCAAACCTTAAGAGACTCTTAACTATAGGTAACAACCTGAGAGTTACTAGAGGGGAGGTGGACGGGGGAATGGGGTAACTGGGTGATGGGCATTAAGGAGGACACTGGAAGTAATGAGCACTGGGTGTCGTATGCAATTGATAAATCACTAAATTCTACCTCTGAAACTAATAATATAGTATGTGTTAATTAAATTAAATTTAAATTTAAAAATTTAATTTAAAAACTGCTCAGATTCTGGATATATTTTTAAGGTAGCACAAACAGTATTTGATGATTGAGTGGATATAATAAGGTACAAGAGAAGGATTGTAGTATGACTTCAAGGGTTTTTAATTGAATAGTTGGAAAGATACAAGTTGTTATTAACCAGAATAGATAAGGCTGTAGATCAATTAAATTTCGAGGAATGAGCAGAAATTCAGATTTTGGACATGTTGAACTTTCTTTTTTAAAGATTTATTTATTTGATTGAGAGAGAGAATGGGCAGGGGTAAGGGGCAGATGCATAGGGAGAGAGAAAATCTCAAGCAGACTCCCTCCTAAACATGGAGCCTGATGTGTGGGACTCTATCCCATGACCCTGAGATCATGACCTGAGCCAAAATCAAGAATTAGAATGCTTAATCAATTGAGCCACCCAGGTATCCCCACTTAGATGTGTTGAGATCTTACATTTGGTGGTAGATTAATGATTCTTATTGTCATGCATTATAACTTACATATGTGTAACAAATGTTATGTAAGAAAATAGACAATAAAAATAATTTAAAATATTAACCTCAAGAATAAGAAAAAGGAAGTGATGAAGGCCTGAAACAGTTGTGGACTTGCCTGATTGAAAAGCTACTTAAACAAACCTACTTAAGTGGTTGGGTATATTTTAAGAAAGCTAGAAGATATGTCCACCTGTGTACTGCCCTCAGTGCCTGGTATTGTATATTTCTGTCAGAAGATTCTATGTAACTTCTAAAGATAAGCATGAGCTTACTTAAACTGTATGTAATAGAACTAGTTTTCTCTCTTTTTTTTTTAGTGTGAAGACACGACCAGTGAGGATGCCTCCAGGGTATCAAGCAGAACTTGTTATTCAGTTGGTGTGGGTGGACGGTGAGCCTCCCCAACAGATTACTAGTCTTGCTGTAAGCTCAGCATATGGAATGTAAGTAAACATTCTAATTTGTATTTTTTAATATATTTGATATACTCAGATGTTTCTTTTAAAATATTTAAGTCCTAAAAATGGAAAGAAGCCCTTACCTAGATTTTTACTTGGTTGAAAATCATATAAGAAAAATGTTAAATTATGATTATTTGTTCTTGCTTGAAGTCAAACTTGTGATAATATTCCCATTTTTAATTTTAGGAGGTTGTTAGGATTTTATTACACGCACTTTAAAAGTTTTCTATCCTTTTCTTCCTTGTGTTCTAATTTGGATACTTTTTTCTGACTTGTCTTTTAGAGTTCACTAATTCCCCCTTCAACTGTTTGGGAGATCCACCCATGGAGTTCAGTTTCAGTTATTTTAATTTTAACTTCTATGCCTTTCATTTGGTTCTTTTTAAAGTTTCTTATCTTCCTAAATTATCATTCTTGTCCTTCATTTCTTTAAACATAGTGAATATAGATCCTTTAAATATCTGTTTGATAATTCCCTATCTGGTATCTAGCTTATTATTTGTCCTGGATTTTGATCATATCATCTTTGTGTAACCCAGATTCGCTTGGTTTGTATTCTAATGTTTTTATGGAATGTTATATGGAATTTATATACCATCATATATTTATTTATATGTTTATAAATAAACATTATATTATAAAGGTAATTTTGAGTTCTAAGTGATGCTATCATCCTGCAAGAAGTATTCATATTTCCTTTAATAGGCTAGACTAAAAGGCAGTAGAGAGCTCAGAACAACATAACCCAATCAGACATTCTTTGAAAGTTGAATTGTATTCCCTTTAAAAGATAATTTAATTCTAAAGTAATCCTTATTTCTAGATTGTTGACCTCCATAGAAATTGTGCCAAATTATATTCCCATCAACAATGTTTAGAATGCCTGATCTTCCATTACCTTTTTTTTAACAGTGGTGTATAACCAAACTTTTAATCCCTGTCATTTTAAGAAGTACATTAGAAAAAAAAGAAAGAAAGTACATTAGAATATTCTCATATCTTAAGTGAAATTGAACATATTTTCCTGTACTGTGACATTTCTGCTTATATTCTTTGTTCATTTTTCTGCAGAGTTGTTGGTATTTCTCTTATAGATTTGAGAAAACTATTTACATAGTAGGAAAGTTAGCTTTCTATGTGATATAACTTACCAGTATTTTCCTTTTTTTTATGAGATTGTTTAGAATGTTTTTTTCCATGCATAAATTCAAATTTTTTTAAAAGTAATCCTATTTTTTATGGTTTTGGATTTTGTGTCATACTTAGAAAAGCTTTCCTTACTTACTATATTCTCTTTTAATATATTTATTTTTAACATACTTAAGTGTTTCTTTTGTCTAGCATTTAATTAGGAATAAATATGAAATAGGGATTAAACTATATTTCTTTCTGGATGACAATGGATTATACCAATACCACTTCCTGAATACTTCATCTTTTCCCTCAAAATTTAGAATCATCTTTGATCAAGTAATACATTTTAAAAATATTTTTGGCTCTAATTCTATACTTCCCAGTCTGTCCCTCTGCTAAGTCTGATGAGCTCCAAGAGCTCTGTGAAGCCATTTGAAAGTGAAATTAGCTAAAAAAACCCTTTGGTGTTCCTGGAGTTTTTACTATGTGATTATACATAAGGAGAACTTGTTCTTGATTGAAAATTTGTTTGATAGGAAAACTGGCAGAAACAGCCCTTAACGAAGGGAGGAGAGGAAGGAAGTATGGAATAGTCAATAATCCCATTAATTTATATGACAAGAATATATAACCCAAGTAGTTATAGCAGATGACTGACCTCAAGCCATTTTCAGGGTTCTGTCAAGAGATTGACCTAAAAAGGCAAAGAATGACAAAATTAAGAGGCTATGAAGGTATATCACCAGGTTCAGAAGCTGAATGCTATTTAGAATAAGTCAGCATATTTTCCAGGTAAAGTAACCGTGGGGGTGAGGGTCTGAAGAACCTACACTTGTATGAGAAAGACAGCTTGGATACCTTCCTCATAGACAGTTTTAACTGCCAAAATACTCCATCCAGCTCAAGTGGCTACTTATGTAAATCCCAGCAAAATTTTAAGACATAAGTAATACCAATATTATACAAAAACTTTGAGAATTGAAAAGGAAAAAATCATATTCATCTCATTATAGGCCAACATAATCTGATGTCAAAATATGAAAAGACCATTACTAAAAGTGGAACATAAATATAGGCGTAAAAATCCCAGCCAAAGTATAAATAAATCTAGTAATAAAATAATTACATATTATAACCATGTTTGGTTTATACCAGGAATGCAAGGCTTAATATTTGAAATGAATTCATGTAATCATCACATTAAAGGATAAAATAGAAAACTATATAAGCCATGAGATGTAAAAAGCAAGAACATTTGGTAAAAATTTATCATCTGTTTGTGATTTAAAAAGAAAAATTTATGGGCAGCCCGGGTGGCTCAGAGGTTTAGCGCTGCCTTCCACACAGGGCCTGATCCTGGAGACCTCGGATCGAGTCCCAAGTCAGGCTTCCTGCATGGAGCCTGCTTCCTCCTCTGCCTGTGTCTCTGCCTCTCTCTCTCTCTCTGTCATGAATAAACAAAATCTTTAAAAAATTTTAATTAAAACAAGAAGGAAATTGAAAAGAAAAATAGAAATTATTATGTATGTACATCATTTAGATACTTTGCAGATAAATTTTAGAATTACTAATAGAATTTAACAAGATTGCTGGACATGAAGGCAATGTAAAAATATACTGAAAAAGTAGAAACTAAAATTGTATTAAGATCCCACTTACAAAAAAATAAAAATAATAAAAAATCTAGGACTATACCTAATAAAAGATGATCAAGACTTCTACACAGAAAACTATAAAACCTCAAAGAAACTAAAGAACTTAAATCATGTAATGTAAAATTCAATAATAGAATAAAGATGTCAGGTTTTCACAAATGATCTGTAGATTTACAACAATGCCAAAATAAATTTTAGCAGGTTTTCTTTTTTCCCCTTGAAGTTTAAAACTAGTTCTAAAATTTATAGAGAAATACAAACGCCACAGTTAGCTAACATAGTACTCTTTAAAGAAAAACAGAATTAGAAGACTTGCTCTATTGGAAAACATGACTTATTAAATAAAGATATATAAGTCATAACAGTGTTTCTATGGGCACAGGAGAGACAGACAAAAATCAATGCACATAAGAAAGAGTGCAGTAAGAAATCCAGGTCAGGGATCCCTGGGTGGCTCAGCGCTTTAGTGCCTGCCTAACACCCAGGGCATGATCCTGGAGTTCCAGGATCGAGTCTCATATCAGGCTCCCTGCATGGAGCCTGCTTCTCCCTCTGCGCCTGCCTCTCTCTCTCTCTCTCTCTCTCTCTCTCTCTCTCTCTCTCTCCCTGTCTCTCTGTGTGTGTGTCTCATGAATAAATAAAATCTTAAAAAAAAATCCAGGCATTTATAGCTATTTTGGTTCTGCAGAGCAATAGAGGAAATGACAGTTTTCCCCCAATAAATACTATAAAGTCAACTGAAAAATTATAGAAAAAAAAGTGAAATTTGACTCTTCTTTCCTACTATACACAAAGCTTCTAGAAAGTATTATAGGAGAATACTTTCATTAGACAATAATATTCAAAAAGTATTAATCATAAAGAAAAACATTAAGAACTTCTTGGGGAAAAAAGGTGCCATTAAGAGAGTGAAATGACAAGACAAGGAAGAGAGAGTTGAATTGATTGTATCTGACAGACTCATTCATATGCAGAGTGTAAAACGAGTCTCATGAATCATCAATAAGAAAAAGGCAAATAATAGAAAGAATGCAGAAGAAATTTGAATATGTCACAAAGAAAGATATATGAACAATATATTTTCATATATATGTGTGTATATATACATATATATATACACAAAAACACACATATATATATGAAGGTACACAACCTTATTAGTAATGTTGGCAGGGTTTGCAAAGATACTAGGTAACAGGAACTCATACATTGCTGTTAAAAGGGTAAATTGTTGAAACTACTTTATAAAATTGTCAGCATTATTTACCCATTTTAGCATGTAAATGTTGGCACACTCAAAAGTTTCATTTTTAGGTGTATACCCAAAGAAAGACAAGCACATGTATATCAAAAGAAAGTGGCCTTATTTGCAAGGGTAGTATTATATTTATAATAGTCCCAAACTACAATCAAATTATGTCCATCAGAGTAGATTGAATAAATTGTAACATATCCATTTGAATTCTACAGCAATTAAAATGAAAACTACATTTACATGTAACAATATATATAAAAAAGCCAAAATCTCAAAAACAAGCAAAACTCGTATAGAAAGTTAGATTTTGGGAGAGGAAAGATTAGCGATAATTGGCAGAAACATGAAACAGCTGCTTGTACCATACTATTTCTTGACATAGTGGTGGTTATGTGGGATTGTTCGCTTTGTGATAATTCATTGAAGTGCACAATTATGTCCACTTACATTTATGAATGTGAATAAGAGTAAAATATAAATATTTTTGCAAATAATTGAGTAATTTTATTTCTAGAAATTTATCCCATAAATATACTCTATATTTTAATGCAAATAACTTGTGAAGGATATTCATTGTTGTTTGTTTTTTTTAAGATTTCATTTATTCATTCATGAGTAACACACAGAGAGAGACAGAGACACAGGCAGAGGGAGAAACAGGCTCCTCACAGGGAGCCCGATGTGGGACTCCATCCCTGGACCCAGGATCATGCCCTGAGCCAAAGGCAGATAGATGTTCAACCACTGACCCACCCAGGCACCCCATTATTGTATTGTTAGTAGCAAAAGACTGGAAGCAACCTATTGTCTGTTAACAAAATTCTAGGTAAAATGATTACACATTAATATTGTGGAGTTATTTTAAAAATTCACTTCCTATTAATTTACATAGAATAATTACCAAAGTACCTACTAAGTTAAATCAAGGTACAGGATAT